GTTGTTGTAGGTTTTTCCGGGCTATATGGTCATGTTCTAGAGGCATTTTTCGCCTGCATCTATGGCAAGCATCCTCAGAGGTAGTGAGGTCCGTTGAAATTAGGAAAATGGGTTTATATATCTGTGGAAAGACCAGGGTGAGACAAGGGACTTTTGTCTGCTGGAGCTAGGTGTGAATGTTTCAACTGACCACCTTGATTAGCATTTAATGGCTTGGAAGTGCCTGGGGGGAATCTTTTGTTGAAAGTGATTTGATGTGCCTGATTGTTTCCTCTCTGTTGTTTTGCTGTTGTAATTTTTGAGTTTTTTAATACTGGTAACCAGATTTTGTTCATTTTCATGGTTTCTTCCTTTCTGTTGAAATTGTCCACATGCTTGTGGATTTCAATGGCTTCTCTGTGTAGTCTGACATGGTGGTTGTGAGAGTGGTCCAGCACTTCTGTGTTCTCAAATAATATGTTGTGTCCAGGTTGGTTCAGGTGCTCTGCTATGGCTGATTTCTCTGGTTGAAGTAGTCTGCAATGCCTCATCATCATCATTGTCATAATCATCATCATTTATATCCTGCCCCATCTCTCCAAAAGGACTCAGGGCATTACAGCATTAATAAATACAATGAGTAATATATACAAAATAAATACCAAATCAGTATAAAAGGGAAGACAAAATAAAAAATACAAATCAAACAATAAACAGTATAAAATCATTTAAAATACTGGTTCCAATAAGTTAAATAAAAGCCAAAATATCCAAATCTTATATGTGAGCTAAGAGTCCCAATTCAAATTGCCTGCATCACCCTCTTCCAACAAGTTGTTTTGGTGCTACAGGGAAGCAAAGAAAATTAATCCCTTGATTGAGCCTTGTGAAATATGAAAGTGGAAATTTTGGTTCTAGTCCTTGCAGCAATTCATGTTCAACTAGTCTACCATTTATTAGACTCTCTCTTAGCCTCCTCTTGATTCAGACCAGAGCTTTGCATTATTTTGATTGAAATTCCCTGAGTCCTGTATGTATCCTGGCCAATGGCCATTCAGGTTCAGGGATTCTGGAGCTGGTCTCCACAAAATACAATTTTTCCAATGTTTCTTTAAGACTTGGACTTCCAGAGAAAAATCAACAATGACTACCATTATTCTGAGGTCTCAAAGGTGAATCAGCTTGAAATTGTGCATCTTTCCAAGTATTTTTATTCCCCCGATGACCCAAAATACCACAGAATGCAAAGTTTTATTCACAGATAAACACTGCAGTCATTGCTTTCATCTTATATTTCAGAATGAATGATTAAATGCCTTCTGTGCATCCTTGGTAGCTCACAAATCAAAATGCACCTCTAAAGGAAATGAACCAGTAAGCATGTATTAGCATTACTAATCTGCGTGGTACCAACGTCAAACTAAATCTCTGCTGAAAGCAAAATTCATAAGCTGAAAAGCTTCTCCCAATCTTTGGCTTGATGCTTTAGGGAACTGTTAACCTCCTTACCATACTGCTACTGATTTTAATATAAAGAGTTTTCCCTTTCTCCTCCCCACTCCGCACTTCAAAGCTGTGAGTTAAAATATCATATACTTTTGAGTTGAAATATCAGTCTCAAATGCAATTCGTGCATGATTAAATTACAGTCAAACCCCCATATTTACAGGGGTTAGGGGCACAGAAACTGAGAGAACACTTTTTTATTCCCTCCAGCTAGAGATTGAACACAGAATTGCATTAGAGACTCTAAAGATGCCTCAAACGATTTAAAAAAAAAAAAATGTCAAACACACAAATATTTAATACTGACTGCAGCAGTATTAACACATTACTCTCACTACCACTATTGTGCCATTGATCAATACAGGATAATGTTTTCTGGTATCCCATCTCTAAGGTACAGAAATGACTTCCTTTAAACACTCCCATACTCTAGCTGAAACAGTCTAATTGCATATCCTTTGCCACTGTTTGGAACATTTAGCTTAGCAAGATAGCCTTCTTTCCATGACAGCGCATGCACTAATGCTTATTCTCCTTTACTCTCCCTTCTTCTAGCAGTGGCAGTCATCACTTTCATCTGGAAAGAATAGAATAACTTTATTGTAATTCTACATTGTGCAATGAAAATTAATGCATTCCCAGAACACATCACAAAAACAAAACACCCATCCCTCCACACTCCAACCACTACGGCACAGCCCCCAATGCCACATCAATGCGGAACTATACAGTAGTTACAGCTCTAAGATAAACGGCCTAGAGTCGCCGTGAACAGCTTACGTTTTCTATGTATTTCCATCACCAATACCTTCTCTCTTTTTCTCTCATATTTGTTCCTTTCTCCTGCCTTATTGCCTCTGTTCCTCTGCTCCTAACTAGTTGCGAAACACCGCACAAGAGTTGCATGGATTGGACCCATGAGACCCTTCCTCCTTCATTTTTGCTCATTATGACTTAGAACATAGTGACAAGTAACAGGTAGAAATCCCATAGCTTTAACTAAAAAGTAATACATTACAGCTTTGGACTTTACAGACAGAAAAGAAACATTGAATGCAACCTTTTTTTTTCAACCAGAAATAATATATTCCTTTTTTCACAAGCAACATATTATTTCTAAACTAGAACACTATGATTTTTAAAAAAATACATGGATGGGGTTACAATAAAACAAATAAAGAAGTCACCCGCTTCATTAGCTACTTTTATTTCCAAAGAGAACAGCCTCTGTGTCCCCCCCCCCCCCCAGTTCCTTTTAGGCCAGAACAAGCCCAAGGCACTTTGCTACCTGGGACAGAAGAGCAAATTATATCAATGTATTTTCTCCAAAGTCAATAGTGCCCAAAACAGTCTGTACCTGACTCAGAAAATCCTACAACCTTTCCTTAGTAGAACAATAAACAACTAACAATTGCCTGACTGAGGTGGCTGGAATACTTGGCCTAATAATACATCAGGGGTTTTGTTGTTGTGTACCTTCAAGTCATTTATGGCTTATGGCCAAATAAGGCAAATCTACCACTGGTTTTGTTCTGGGGCTGACAGTGTGTCATTCAGACAAGTCATCTGTAGATTTCCATGGCTGAGTGGGAAATTGAACTCTAATGTTTTAGGATTTCATCGCATGGAGTTCTGGCTCCATCCTATTATTGTTGTTATTATTATTATTATTATTATTATTATTATTATTATTATTATATTTATTTTTACTCCAGTTTATCTTTCTTGAAGGAGACTCAAAATGGCATAACACAAAAGCATTAGCATACAATTTAAAATATGTAAACATTAAAACAGGATTAAATATAAACAGTATTTTTAAAAATCCCAGTTTAAAACCATTAAAACATATTCAAAGTTAAAAGCCACAGCAACCCCCTGACATGGTCTTTAAAACCTTCATCTTTAAAAGCCTGTCTGAATAGAAGGTTTTAGCCTGCCACTGGAAGGATAGCAGGGAGGGGGGCATTCTGGCTTCCCTGGCAAGAAGGGAGTTCTTGAGTTGAGTCGAGAGTCGAGGGACAGCCCCCGAGAAGTAAGGCCCACTTTCTCCTTCCCACTAACCGAGCTTGAGATAGAGGTGGGACCAAGAGAAGGGCCTCTCCTGAAGATCTCAGGGCCCGGGCAGGTTCATACAATGGGATGCGATTGGCCAAATAGCCTGGACCTGAACCATCTAGGGCTTTAAAGGTTATAACCAGCACTTGTGCCTTGTAACAGACTGGCAACTAGCAGAGCTGCTTCAACAGGGAGGTTGTCCGCTCCCTGTATCCCGCCCCAGTTAGCAACCTGGCTGCAGTCTTTGGACTAGCTGAAGTTTCCTATTACTCTTCATAGGTAGCCCCACATAGAGCACGTTACAGTAATCCGGACAGGATGTGGCCATGGTGGTACACTAAGGTGTGCACTACTATGGCCAAATCTGGCTTCTCAAGGAACTGTTGCAGTTGGAGCACAAGTTTTAAATGTGCAAAGGCCCTCCTGTTCACCACTGACACCTAGGCTTCCAAGTTCAGCACTGAGACCAGGGGGACCCCCAAAGTGCGAACCTGTGTCTTACTGATGACAAGCACTGGTTTAATGTCAGGCAGCTTTCTTGGCATTAGATGGAAAGGAGTAGTAGAGTTGAGTATCATCTGCATATAGGGCTACTTTCAGCGGAGCTCCATCCTCGAAGCATCTTAGGACAGGGCCCTGAAAACATGGGCGGCTACTTGTGTTCTCATAACCTACAACAAGGCCAGCACAAGGGGCTGGGGGAGGCGGGCCGGCAGTAACGTTTCCCCCATGTGATGAGGAAGGTGGCAATGCGGGGTGCAGGACAACTGTTTCCCCCAGTGCCCCATGGATTTGCTACGCTGCCTGGTGAATTTCCCAGTTGTCGCCTGCATTAGGGACCTCAATGTGATGAGGTCCATAGTCTATGGTTCAAATCATTGCACCACACAGGCTCTCAGATATGTCTTTTGTAGGCCCTTATTCTCATATTAGAATGCTAGCAGAAAGAACAGGTGAGTTGCTCTCTGCAGTACCTGGGAACTGAATAACATTTTAAGCAGCATTTGCAATCAGCAGTTGTCAGGTAACAATGGATCATTCTGTGCCAAGAAAATCTGTAACAGCCAATGTATCTGGGAATGCTGAATTGGTAATTCTGGAGGTCGCAATCCAAAAAAATTAATGCTTTCGACCTAGAGCACTGTTTCTTATCAAAATGACAATAAGAATATGCATGGCTATGTATGCCATGGATATTGCCATTAATAACATAATAGGCCATACTCAATAGGTGATTCTGACATTCAGACTTCATTCTAGTTACTTTATTTAGCAATCAGACATCCCCAGAAAACCTGAGTATTAGGAAAGTAAAGTGTTGCAGAGCAGAAGTATATATGCACCTTTTTCACAGTGAGCAATAGCAGCATGTTTCTTGTAGTTTTAATGATGATCTCAAAAGATGCTAAACAACATCGAAAGCCTTCTGGAAAACACCCAAACACAATCATTTGTACCTGCAAAAATCTCCTTCTGCCTCTGGTAACGTTAATGAAGCAGTGGCATTTTTCATTAAATCTGATACCGTGTTGTCCTTTGGAGTCATATAGAAGAACGGAATTCCTGTGCTGTTGTCTGCGGGACCATCACTGATAGATAAACAATTTCCAAATGGGGTTCCTTGGATCTGAAAAAGTTTCCCAAAAACTGCAATTAAAAGGAGACAATGGTTTTGTACAGAAATTTAAAGCATCAATACATTTTGATGTCGGACTCTTCCAGATTGGGTAGTTGGAGAGTGACAAAGTATAGTTCGCCTCCAATTGAAAATAATTTATTAATAAATGGACAATATTGTAGATCCAAAGCTAAGGTACAGTGAATCTTATGCATTGTCTGCATGTACAGTATACATATTATACTAAATTATCAATTTTAGTGCAGCGAGATGTATGAAGGGCTAGGAATCTCTAGATAAGAATTCTAAACGACTGCAATTTCCTACAATTTCACACTGGATAAGAAAGGGAAATTAGTTTAAATTATAGTTATGAAATATATTTATCCCACTTTATCAATGTACAGTACCCAAGGCAGCTGAACGCAAAACAAACAAAGGTTCTAATTTCTAAAGTTTCAGTACTAGGATATATACACACTGCCATACATGTGCAAAATTCTAAAATATACACGAGCATCATTATCTTACTGTAATAATTTTCTACATGAGATACACAGCAATTGATCTTTGCATATTTATAGAGCATTGTAAGGCAAAAAATTAAATACCAATAAACATAATTAGAATAATGACACAACTGTATAGCTGTATCCCTGAAAGGAAGTTTCCTTTAATTAAACATGGCTTAGGATTGTGCTCTCATGTTAGTAGGGATTGTCCAGCTCATAGTCTAAATCCAATTAGAGTAGACCCATTAACGAAAGAGGGACGTGTTAACTCGACACTAATGCAAGTTCCATTGAGTAAACTGCATTTGCTGGATCTTGGATCTTGGTCTACACATATATCAAATTGCTCTGAGGGCATCTAGGGCCCCTTCCACACAGTTGAATAAAATCCCATATTTTCTGCTTTGAACTGGAATATACGGCAGTGTGGACTCAGATAACCCAGTTCAAAGCAGATATTGTAACATTTTCTGCATTGATATTCTGGGTTATATGATTGTGTGGAAGGGCCCTAGGAAGCCATTTTACTAAAAAAACAACTGTGAGATGACGGGGAGACTCAATAGTTCAGTGTAATTGGAGACTTCAGGTGAAATTACAGTCTTCTTGTTTATAATAGGGAATATTTTATTAATGACTTCTGTTATAAACTAACCTACTTTTTTCACAGCCACATGCACTGAAGCAGAGAGTAGGTGCTTTGTCAATGCTTTCTACATATTGTAGACTGGAAGATTCTCATAAAAGAAAAAACCCACAAGATAACCACTGGTTACATTTCTGTCAATTTCACAGAGAATATTAAAGCTCATGGAATTCACTAATAAGTAGCAGAGCTAGAAGAAATTATTTTGCTCCCTGGGGCAAATTGTGGTCTTATCCATTACATATAAAAGTCATTTTGTTATTGAGAAATCAGACCCCCCACCCCAACAATATGGATTATATAAAATATATGAATTATGAGATAAGGCCCTATTGGAAAATATAGCCAGCTACAAGGTAATTTCTGATCATCCTAAAAAGTAACATTTCTATTAAATTCCTTGGAAATTCCTCAGAACATATACTCACCTTGCTCTTGCCTCAGCCTCACCCAGAGGCTATCACCATAATCAATATCCTTTATCTATCTGGCATGACTTGATTTAGGCTAGTCATGGGAACTTTTTTTTTTGAGGAGCGACTTGAAAAACTGCAAGTCACTTCTGGTGTGAAAGAATTGGCTGGCTGCAAGGACATTGCCCAGGGAATAACCGGATGTTTGATGTTTTACCATCCATGTTGGAGGCTTCTCTTATGCCCCCTCATGGGAAGCTAGAGCTGAGAGGGGAGCTCACCCTGTTCCCTGGATTCAAACTGCCAACCTGTTGGTCAGCAGTCCTGTCGGCACAAGGGTTTAACCTACTGCACCACCGGGGGCTCATTGCCTGATCTATAGCACCTATCCGGACACCCTCTGTGAATCCTCCATTGTATGTATCTGTGCCTTAAACACCTTTTGCCCATGAGCCAGCACCTCCTTTGTCTAGCTGACATTGGACCACCAGGACCCATCAACCACCCATCAAATCAACCATAAAGCACAACCACAGGTATATACTTGTTTCACTACCAACAGAATCTCTGAATATGTCAGCCACAGATGAAGGTGAAATGTTAGGAGAGAGTGCTGCTGCATCAAGGCAATACACCCTGAAAAACTCACATTTTATTTGTCATGTCAGGGCAACCAGTCAATTATATTACATTTCTAACAGAACAAAGCAAACAAACAGACAAAATACAAAATTTGTGAGTTTGGTAGTTGATTAAATGTCATTTGACCAGTATCTGGCCACTTGGAGTGCTTCTGGTGTTGCTGCAAGAAGGTCCTCCATTGTGCATGTGGCAGGGCTCAGGTTGCATTGCAGCAGGTGGTCAGTGGTTTGCTCCTCTCCACACTCACATGTCGTGGATTCCACTTTGTAGCCCCATTTCTTGAGGTTGGCTCTGCATCTTGTGGTGCCAGAGCGCAGTCTGTTCAGCGCCATCCAAAAACTCACAGCAACCCAGTGATTATGGCCACGAAAGCCTTCGACAATACCCATCAAACTGCATTCCACCAGACACAGCCAGTTTCGGGGAAGAACTCACTACAGACACAAGACTTCAAATCCACAAATTTCCCACCTTGCCTCTGATTGGTTCAGAAGCAGGAGCAGACTCGTGCCTCATCCAATACGGCTGCAGATTCTAGTTGGCACCCTTTAGGACCAATGGGGAAACAAGTGTGGCAATTTTCAATTGTTTTATATTACTTCTTTTTGTCAAATGTGCTACAAATAAACCCATGTGTTCACTGCTGGGGTATGTCAGTCTTTGAGAGTGAAGACTACTGATATTCTCTTTGGCCATTAAAAATAAAACTCTGTTTTTGCCTTCTAACCCATCTGTGTCTGATTTGAAGAAACGATAAAGTGTAATGTTACAATATGTTTGTCATTGCAGGATCTTGGCCATTGTTTTAAAGATATGAAATCTAGACCAGGGGTCCTCAAACTAAGGCCTGGGGACTGGATACGACCCTCCAAGGTCATTTACCCAGCCCTTGCTCAGGGTCAACCTAAACCTGAAATGACTTGAAAGCACACAACAACACCACCACCAACAACCCTATCTCATAAGCCAAAAGCAGGCCCACACTTCACATCGAATTACTACTAAGTTTATATTTGTTAAAATTGTTGTCCATTTTAATTATTGTATTGTTTTAAAGTGTTTTTAGCACTACAAATAAGATATGTACAGTGTGCATAGGAATTCATGCGGCCCTCCAACAGTTTGAGGGACTGTGACCTTGCCCTCTGTTTAAAAAGTTTGAGGTCCCCTGAACTAGACAATGGTAAAAGAAAGAATCTTTAACACCAATAACCCTAACCAATTTATTTCGTCATAAGCTTTTGTGAACTATAACCTTTTTCTGATGTTACTGTCTCTATCCCATCTTACAGTTGGTAAAAAGCTTATGCAGAACTAAATCAGATAATTTTTAGTGTCACAAGCTTCCTTTCTATTTTTATACCTAACCAGCACTTTTCAGCATGATCCTTTGTATGCCGTGTTATTCAGAAAGTTTCACTGACTTACTCCCAAGCACACACTGGATTGCAACCATTAAGCCTGATTTCAATAGATGAATCAAGGATATACATAATAATCTCCCATCAATATCAAATGATGTAGTGAGCCATCATTACTCTAATTATGTAATCACTACATGATCATGCCATGCAATTCACCTTCAAATCGATGCATGAATGTTCAAAATCAAGTAATGAGGAAGTATAAAGTTCATATTAAAAGGCTAATCGCCCTTGTAATAGTAATGATATTTCAGTTAGCATGCTATTATCCAAATTACCCTGACCCACAAGAATCCACAAACCATACCATCATGTAGTAGATGCCTTGTGTGTGGGTTGTCAAGCTACTGGTATTGTGAGCAACAAAACCCCAAAGGAAGTGAATATTCATGCTTCATTAACCCTCCTCCAGACAGATGAGATGTTACAGTCCCCAAGAATCTAATTTTGTTGTAGAACTAGACCTACCAGAAAATCATTTTACAGCAGTGTCACCTGAAAAGCTGTAAACAATGCCTATGGGTCTATTGGTACATCTATGCTCTAGAATCAATTCAGTCTGACACCACTTTAACTGCCAAGGAGTCATGGGAACTATAACAGAGCCACAGTGGCACAATGGATTAAACCCTTGTGTAGGCTGGACTGCTGACCTAAAGATCAGCAGTTCAAATCCTTGAGATGGGAGATGAGAAAAGCCTTCCACAGAATGGCAAAATATCCAGGTATCCCCTGAGCAACGTCCTTGTACACGGCCAATTCTCTCATACCAGAAGTCACTTGCAATTTCTTAAGCTGCTTCTGATATGAAAAAAGAACAGGAATGACAGTTTTACAAGGCATTTAGCCTCCTCTGACAGTGTGCTGGTGTCTTGCCAAATTATAAATTCCATAGCATTGAGCCATGGCAGTTAAAGTGGTGTCAAACTGCATTCTTTCATCAGTGTTGATGAACTCTATGAGTCTCCAGTACTTGTTATACACGCACACACACACACTGACATACACACACCCAACAGTGAGAACAAAAAGTGTCCCAACAAATCTACTGTATTTGTGTTGGCCACAATTTATTTTGTGTTTGTTTTTTTATTCATTTTTCAAACAAGGAAGTGCCTTCAAGAAAACTCCAACCTATAGCAACCCTGCCATGGGGTTGTTTTATTTATTTATTTGGCACAAAGTGTTCTAAGGTCATGACATTCCTATGAAACTAAGACCACGTGATTTCCCCCAAATCACCCAATGGCTTTCTATGGCTGAGCGGGGATTCAATTGATGGTTTGAATTCCCACTAGTTCCACATTTAAACCACTTTATCACGTGGGATCTGTAGATGATGTTTGCCTCTCTGTGGATGGATGCCAGATATCTGTATTTGGCCATAAGTATGTGATTTATATTCTACTTGTTATTATTAAGAATAGTGTGGTTTGGACCTTTTGAGTGAGAAGTGTGCATGGGATTGTGCCACATGTTTAGCTGACATGGTAAGTCCAACTAAATGGTGAGTCCAACGATACTAGATGGAAAATCCAACAGCCATCACACCTTAAAGTCTTTCCCAGCTTCTAAGCACATAGAGACATCTTAAGACAAAAGCTACCTGTCTTCAAAAATGCCCCATTTCTAAACACTTAGAAAACGGAGTTCCAAAGACAACTTCCGGAAATAGTCTTGTGTCATTTGATGACCTCAATGGGACTCCAATTTCAAAGTGTTTAGAAATGGGGGGAAGTCTGCATATGATGAGAACCCAGGACTCTAAAAAACCAAAGAGGCCCTGCTCTCAGTCCCACCTCCTTCGCAGTCGTGACTGGTGGGGATGAGAGACAGGGCCTTCTCCATGGTGGCCCCTTAGCTGTGGAACTCTTTCCCCAGTGATATTAGATCCATCCCCTTCCTCCTGCCTTTCGGAAAAAGCTCTAATCCTGGCTTTGAGATCAAGCGTTTGTGCAATAAATGGATCAACTGGGAAGATAATGTTTAGTGGACTGCAATGAACTGATTATGTTTGGAACTGGTGAACTGTTTTTAATTGAATGCTTATCATTGTTTTAATTGTGTTAATTGTAAGCATGTGTTTCAATGTATTGTTTTTGGCTTCTAATAGCTGCCTGCTGTAAGCCATCCTGAGTCCCTCTTCAGAGGTGAGAAGGATGGGATAGAAATGCCCGAAATAAATAAATAAATAAATATGGTTCAAATCCCAAGTCAGTCATGGAAACCCATTGAATGACTTGGGCACTACAGTGGTTCTCAACCTGTAGGTCCCCAGGTGTTTTGGCCTACAACTCCCAGAAATCCCAGCCATTTACCAACTCTTAGGATTTCTTGGAGTTGAAGGCCCAAACATCTGGGGCCCCACAGGTTGAGAACCACTGCGAAGAAGGCAGTGCCAAATCTCTGAATTAATCTTCCAAGAAAATCCTAAAATAGGGCCCTTATAAGTTGGGATCAGCTCAAAGGCACAAAGCAGCAACAGCAACTTCATGTTGATAACACAAAACCCTTATTAGTTATTGCAACCAAAAACAAAACAGCACACTCCCAGGATCTGTAGGCTATATTTCAGAGGACGGAACTGGCAAAACCATCTCTAAGTTATTTCTTGCCTAACAAAACCCTAAGAAATGCATAGCATCACTATAAATTGTCAGTCACACACTTTCCATTGAAGCCATCCCTCATCGCTGTCTGCAAATGCCAAAGCTTTGGGAAACTCTTTCTGTTTTTTTAAAGCAAGGCAGTCACGTACTCCAGCAAATCTTGTAGCAATTTGGTCCCTATTTTTAGAACTGCAGAAGAAAAGAGTGAGAGACTAAAGAAATGGTGACTTTTGAAATAAAAAAAACCCCAATTCCTTTGGTGCATTTCCTAGAAAGTGAGCAACATCCTCTTCTGAGCGAATGGCTATAAGACAGAGCCACATTGTAGATACTGCTAAAATATATAAAATCACCAGCATCCCCCTATCTCCAAGGGGAAGTAGGAACCTCAGCCTTGAAGAGAAACATAAGTTGGGGATAGTGTTATATTATTATTATTATTATTATTATTATTATTTAATCGTGTTAGAAGTGAATTGAGAATATTCTGCAAGTCGCTTCTGTCTGTCTGCAGAGATGTCACCCAGGGGACAACCTGATGTGTTACCCTCTTATGGGAGGCTTCTCTCATGTTCCCGCATGGGAAGCTGGAACTCACCTTGTCTTGCAAATTCGAATAACTGACCTTCAGTTCTTCAGGTCAGCCGGAACAAGTGCTATAATTAATCAGTGGTATTTAACAGTGCCATTCATGCAACTAGTATCAATCGATTTCATGAACAGAGACGAAAAAACTTTGCTAACAGTGCCCAAGAAGAGGCTGGCAACAACTCTCCTCTCCCACAGCACCTTCCCTGGGTTTAGCAAGGGCCACATTTTGATAAGGAGCTAAGCCAGGCATGGGCAAACATGGGCCCTTCAGATGTTTAGGACTTCACAACTCCCACAATTCCTAACACTGGTTGTTAGGAATTGTGGGAGTTGAAGTCCAAAACACCTGGAGGGCCAAAGTTCGCCCATGCCTGAGCTAAACACACCCTAAAGGTAGCAGATGCTGCTTTCTCTCGGGAGCTAACCAGAATCAGTCCTGGTTGGCACACAGATGGGAAAACTGCCAACAAAAATCAAGGGCGATGGGATTATATGTTAGTTAGAGCAGTGTTTCTCAACCTGGGGGTCGGGATGCCTGGGGGGGGGGTTGTGAGGGGGTGTCAAAGGGGTTGCCAAAGACCATCAGAAAACACAGTATTTTCTCAGTTCTTGTGGGTTTTTTCGGGCTATATGGCCATGTTCTGTTGGTCATTGGGGTTCTGTGTAGGAAGTTTGGCCCAATTCTATCATTGTTGTGGTTCAGAATGCTCGTTGACTGAAAGTGAACTATAAATCCCAGCAACTGCAACTCTCAAATGTCAAGGTCTATTTTTCCCCAAACTCCACCAATGTTCACATTTGGGCATATTGCGTGTTGTTGTTCATTTGTTCAGTAGTTTCCGACTCTTCATGAACCAGTCCATGCCAGAGCTCCCTGTCGGTCGTCACCACCCCCAGCTCCTTCAAGGTCAAGCATATTGCGTATTTGTGCCAAGTTTGGTCCACATCTATCATTGTTTCTGTCCACAGTGCTCTCTGGACGTAGGTGAACTACAACTCCAAAACTCAAGGTCAATGCCCAAGAAACCCTTCCAGTATTTTCTCTTGGTCATGGGAGTTCTGTGTGCCAAGTTTGGTTTAATTTAATCATTGTTGGGAGTTCAGAATGCTCTTTGATTGTAAGTGAATTATAAATCCCATCAACGACAACTCCCAAATGGCAATATCCACCACCACCCAACCCCACCACCCAACCCCACATTTGGGCGTATCGGATATTTGTGCCAAATTTGGTCCAGCGAATGAAAATACATCCTGCGTTATCAGATATTTTACATTACGATTGATAATAGTAGCAAAATTACAGTTATGAAATCGCAACAAAAATGATGTTATGGTTGGGGGTCACCACAACATGAGGAACTGTATTAAGGGGTCGCGGCATTAGGAAGGCTGAGAAACACTGAGTTAGAGGAAAGAACTGGCAAAGCCCGAGATAGGCTTGAAGGTATCACACACATGAAGAAGGAATTTACATAAAGCGCTTTTGCAAAGGAATAAAGTTTTCCCTCGGAGGGTGCATCTACCCCAGGCATGGGCAAACTTGGGCCTTCCCTCCAGGTGTTTTGGACTCCTACTCCCAGCATTCCTAACAGCCTCAGGCCCCTTCCTTTTCCCCCTCAGCCGCTTAAGCGCCTGAGGGGGAAAAGGAACGGGCCTGAGGCTGTTAGGAATGGTGGGAGTTGGAGTCCAAAACCCCTGGAGGGAAGGCCCAAGTTTGCCCGTGCTTGGATGCTCCCCTAGAAGGAAAGGGGGTCCTGCAAGAGGTGCATCCCTAAGACATCCCATCCCGAAGGAAGCCCAGGCCCAAGAGCAAAGGCTGGTGGTACCTTCTCCTGGGCGGAGGCGGCGGCGAGGAAGCCCCAGGCGGCGGCGAGGAGCCTCTCCCTGGCCGCCTTGCCGGCCCTTTCCCCGGGAGGCGCCGCCCCCTCTCTCCGGTAGGAGAACATGCGGGAGGGCGAGGCGCGCCGCTTGGCCCCTTCCCGCCCTCCTTCCCGCTCGCCTTCCCGCTTGTACACCGAGGCCGGGTGGCTCCGCTTCCAGAGGCGGCCGGGCTCGCCCAGCAGCGCCGGAGTGGCCCCTTCCTCTTCCTCTTCCTCCTCCTCGGCTGAGGCGCTGTCCAGCTCTTCCTCCGGCCACGAGACCGAGCTGACCACCACGTAGCCGCGCGCCAGGCGGCCCCCGCACAGCGCCCAGCAGAGCAGCGCCCAGCCGGCCAGGCCCAGGCGCCGCCGGACCCGAAGGAAGCCCGCCGGCATGCTGGGGAAGGAGTAGCAGCACTAGCAACAGCAGGAGGAGAAGGAGCCTTTCGAAGCCCCCAATCGCCAAGCCAAGAAAGCGGATTGTTGGTTGCGGAACAGCGCCCCCTGGTGACCACGCCTGGACTGTGTAATCCCTCGCTTGCCTTGTAACCAAGCAGGTTGGGCTCTCCCTGCACTCACAACCTCTGAGGATGCCTACCACAGATGCATGCAGGCGAAACATCAGGAGGAGGGAATGCTTCTAGAACATGGCCATACTGCCCGAAAAACCTACAACAGTCCGTCTCCCTGCACTGCCAGCTTACTTACTTATTTGGGCAATCCTAAATAAGTAAGGCTGGATGGCCATCTGCCAGGGGTGATTTGACTGCAATATTCCTGCTTCTTGGCAGGGGGTTGACTGGATGGCCCATGAGGTCTCTTCCAACTCTATGATTCTATGATTCTATTCTATGATCCCTCGTGGCTCGAGAATGATGGTCTGCCAGATGTGGTGTCTTGGCGGTGGGTTCCTAGGTGGCTATGGAAGTCAGCTGTGACCAGCAGTGCTGCAGAATTTGAAGAGGCACAAATGGAGGGTGAAAGAGAGAAATGTGCCAAGAGGAAGGCGCGTCAAGCCAACCCCGACGGGACCGCCTTCCACCTGGAAACCAATGCCCTCACTGCAGGAGACGATGCAGATCAAGAATAGGGCTCCATAGTCACCTATGGACCCACCCTGGAGGATTATCCTACTCATACAATGAGGGATCGCCTAAGTAAGTAAGTACGTAAGTAAGTAATAAAGCCCTATTCTTGATCCGCATCTTCTCCCGCAGTGAGGGCATCAGTTTCCAGATGGAAAGCAGTCCCAGTCAGGGTTGGCTTGACACACTTTCCTCTTGGCACGTTTCTCCCTTTCACCCTCCATTTGTGCCTCTTCGAATTCTGCAGCACTGCTGGTTACAGTGGACCTCCAGTCAGAATGCTCAAGGGCCAGAGTGTTGCACCTCAGCTGGGGTTCACCTTGCTCAAGCACTCACCAGGAAGCCGAATGTAGAAATAAATAGTTTTTTTTGAAAAAGCACACAGTAAAGAGTAAAAAATCCAAATAGGTAAGATAAAAGGAGTCTCAAAAAAACAGAGATAAAACTCCAATGAAAAAATTAAAGCATGAATATAAATCCAAGGAGCAGGGTAAATTCATGAGCTTGAATAATCCAAAAACAAGGATTATTTGATCCAAGAATCAAAGAACAATACATTAGCTTGAGTTTATGGTAAAATCCCTAAGACTTAATACAAAACTTTACCAGGACATGACTTGAAGTGGGAACCAAGGCAAGAGTTCCTTGCTCTAATTGCTAAGTTGTTCGATTTAAAAACCGAAAGCAGTTTTCCCCCTTAATAAGGACAGCAATGCATGAAAGCATTCCTTTGGCCCATCGCCCGCTTTCTCCCATCACCTGACTCGCACCTGGAATTCTTCCCACGTAGGAGCAGTCTTGATTCTCCATCTAATCTCTCTTCCTCTCTTCGCTGCCTGTCATCCTGCAAAACAGTTTTGTTTTCACACAGAGATTCCACCAAAACCCCCTGTTTTCTCCCAACCGGGGAATTGCTATCCTGTTCCAACATCTCCTCTGTCTGAACACCTTCAGAAACATCAGGGCCTGCAGGCCCTGCAACCCCAGACCCTTCATCAACATCCTCAGCTGGCTGCACTATATCAAACCCCTCCACATCATCCTCAGCTGGCTGAGCTACAATTCAGGGCTTTCCAGTTCTCGGTGTCTATGCCACAGTTTTTAAGGTTGGCTTTGGGCCCATCTTTAAATCTCTTTTCCTGTCCACCAACATTGCGTTTCCCATTCTTGAGCTGGGAGTAGAGTAACTGCTTTGGAAGACGATGATTGGGTATTCGGACAATGTGGCTGGCCCAGCGGAGTTGATGGCGGAGTGACCTTCCAGCAGTTACCAGCCAATCCCTCTCAAATGCCAGAGATACAGCTTAATGGTGTAACATTAAAAAATGTTAACCATTTCTGCTACCTTGGCAGCCACCTCTCCACAAAAGTCAACATTGACATTGAAACACAACACCGCCTGAACTCTGCAAGTGCAGCATTCTTCCGAATGAAGCACACAGTGTTTGAGGACCAGGACATCCGTAGAGATACCAAGGTGCTTGTTTATAAAGCCATTGTCCTCCCAACCCTGCTATATGCCTGCAAAATGTGGACTGTCTACAGATGTCACATGCAACTCCTGGAATGATTCCATCAGCATTGCCTCCGAAAAATCCTTCAAAGATCTTGGGAAGACTGCCAACTAATACAGCTTCATAGGCAAAGCCCAGCACCCCTAACCTCTCCCTCTTTCAAGTCTCTTTTCCCTCTCTTCCCTTCCTCCTGTCTCTGTTGTCCTTCCAACTTTGTTGTATGCAAGAGAACCATGGACCATCTATAAATGTTCCTCTCGACTTCTGGAATGACTCTATCCATGTTGCCTCTGAAAAATCCTTCAAATCTCTTGGGAAGACAGGTGGACTAATGTCAGTATTCTGGAAGAAGCAAAGACTATCAGCACTGAAGCAGTGTTTCTCCGCAATCAACTTTGCTGGATTGGCCACATTGTCCAAATGCCCAATCACCATCTTCCAAAGCAGCTACTTTACTCTCAGCTCAGGAACAGCAGAATTTTTGTTAAAGATAGGCTTAAAGCTGACCTTAAAATGTCACAGAACTGGGAAGCCCTGGTCCATGAGCATTCTTGCTGTTACCAATAATGCTGTGGATTTTGAAGAGGCATGAACAGAAGACGAAAGGGAGAAATGTGCCAAGAGGAAGGTATGTCAAGCAAACCCTTGTCAGGATCACCTTCCATTGAGAAATCTATGTCTTCATTGTGAAAGACTATGTGGATCCCGGTTAGGTCTCCACAGTCACGTATGGATCCCTGCCAAGTTTATGGCAGTTATAATCAAAAATCTTTACAGAACACCAGGATACCTAATTCAACCAGGTTTGGTGTCTGAACCAAGAGACTGTATTTACAGGGATTTGCTCATAAGTAATTGAAAGGTCACAGGTTTGAATCTGGGGAGTGGCGTGAGCTCCCACTGTTAGCCCCAGCTTCTGCCAACCTAGCAGTTCAAAAACATGCAAATGTGAGTAGATCAATAGGTACCACTCTGGCGGGAAGGTAACAGCGCTCCATGAAGTCATGCTGGCCACATGACCTTGGAGGTGTCTATGGACAAAGCTGGCTTTTTGGCTTGGAAATGGAAATGAGCACCAACCCCCAGGGTCGGACATGACTGTACTAAATGTCAGGGGAAAACCTTTACCTTTACCTAATTGACCATAGGAACTTACTCCAGTAAAATGTAGCAAGGACTGCCTCATATTAATAAAACAACCTATATATTTTGAAAAGTAGAAAAGAAAAACTCAGGCTACAACATGTAAAACATCACGGCTTTCACTGTTTATCAAACCAAGCTTACATTCCAATAAACTTGTACGTTTTAGCAAACACCTAAATTATAGTGAAATAGTGGTGCCCTCTAGAGGTTTCCTAATGTAACACCCTTAAATTGTAGCTCATTAGTCTGGTACAATATTATGAAAGGTATTGCCCAAAACGGTTTGTGAATAGAAAGTTACCTACACCTAGATCATGGAAGAGTAATCGTGAGACCACCTCTCTGCTCCTCTTTCCATTAATGGATGAGATGAGAAGGGAAAAGGCTTGCACTTTCCTACTGATCACAGTTCCAAACTCAAGGGACTGCAGTTTGTTGTAGACCAGTGGTTCGTGGCCCATCAGTGGTCCACAAAAACTGAAATATGGTCCGTGGCCTCACTGTTACTACACCATTGCATCAAGAGTGACTGGTTTTGCAAAACCCTCTTATAGTGCCGGGGCTTATTAAATATGGTTTTCTGTGGGTGAGCAGATGGCAACTACTGGATGGCATATGTTCTGCATCGGAAATGAGAGCTTCGCTCACACTTGAGGTTCAGGTGTCGGCGGTGTCTGGGAGGGCTTTTGCACAACTGAGACTTGTGCGCCAGCTGCGACCGTACCTCGCGAAGGCTGATCTGGCCGGGGTGGTCCATGCCTTGGTCACCTCCAGATTGGATTACTGCAATGCGCTCTACGTAGGGCTGCCCTTGAAAACGGCTCGGAAACTCCAACTGGTTCAGCGGGCTGCAGCCAGGATGCTAACCGGGGCTCATTACAGAGAGAGGTCGACCCCTCTGTTTAAGGAGCTCCACTGGTTGCCATTTATTTTCCGAGCCCAATTTAAGGTGCAGGTGCTTACCTAGAAAGCCCTGAACGGTTTGGGACCACCCTACCTGCGTGACCGCATCTCCGTCTATGAACCCACACGCTCACTTCGGTCATCTGGAGAGGCCCTGCTCGTGATCCCAMCCRCGTCGCAAGYRCRTTTGGTGGGGACGCGAGACAGGGCCTTTTCTGTGGTGGCCCCCYGACTTTGGAACRCCCTCCCAAAAGAKCTGAGACAGGCCCCTACGTTGGCAGTTTTCAGAAAKAATTTAAAAACCTGGCTGTTCCGATGTGCCTTCCCAGATTAGGAATCCCCATCACCAAGTCCTAGAAGCACTTTAGTAGAATCAAGATCACTGCACACCGCATTTTATAATCCTATATTCCTCCTGCCACTTCAGCACTTTTTAATCCTGTACCCACTGCTCTGGCCAGCCCAGTTTTTAAAGTGTCCTGATTTTGTTACTGTTGTTGTTTATTTTGCTCACTGTTTTGATTTGCTTTGGTATTGTTGTTGTATTATGTTTTACTGTATTGTGTTTTGAGACTTCGGCCTATGTGAGCCGCATCGAGTCCTACGGGAGATGCTATCGGGATACAAATAAAGTTAATAATAATAATAATAATAATAATAATAATGTGGTCTATCATTATTGCAATTTTCTGAATCAGAACTCCAAGTAACCAAGTAACCAAACTGAATCTAAAATTCACAAAAGACTGATTTGTAACCCTTTTGGTACTAATRTTGGAGAGTGGTCCCTGATCAAAGTGGTCCCTGGTCAAAAAAAGGATGGGAACCACTGTTGTAGACA